AAAATTTAAAGCCAGTGTTTAAATAAGAGCCCTATCTGCTTTCTTGTGCAAAGACCCAGATCTTGCAGAAATTCTCAGCTGCCTGTGCCCACAATCACAGGTCACAGAAAGCCCCCATCCCGCCTGCCCAGGCCCTTTTCCCAGCCCTGTGCCTTTACCTGGCAGAGACAGACCCTCCAGTGCCCCATCTCCTCAGGTGAAGAGCTCAGAGCTGGAAGCTGCCTCACAGAGGTACCTGCTTTGCTTTCTCTTCCCCCAGGTGCTCACAACTCTCCATCCCACAAACCACTTCAGAAAGGAAAAAAACTTCTCATGGATCCTCTTCCAATGTGTGATCCTCTTCCCTGACTACAAAGAACTGAACTTTCCTCTACTCTGTGATGGGTTGTGAACCCCCCATTTCCCAAGAATTACAGAGGCAGACACATTTCTCTATAAGACCATGCCTTGGCTGAGGGGGATTTTCATCATCCCACCTCCCAGCTGAGGGCAGGTGGCCCCAGAAACTACAATCATTAACCAGCCTCTTATCTCTTTCTTCTTTCTTCTCACTGATTTTTATCACAGTTATTTCCTTCTTCGTTTCCCTGAAGCTCAGCAGCAGCACCCCCACTTCTGTGTGAGTCTCTCTCTCTCTCTCTCTCTCTCTCTCTTTCTCCCCAGCCATGATTTAAAGTAACTAAACAACAATTCTTATTCTTTAGGTCGATCCTAAATATTGATTTTCTGTAGTGCTCATAATGGAGAGGGACTTTCCAAAGCAGCTTCCCCAGTCCATGCTCCACTTACGGCAGTGACCTGAGAACAGGATAGTTTCTGTCCCGTTTAAGAGCCCACAGGCTCCTCAAGGACCAGGAAGGTTAGCAAAAATAAAATGCATGTAAAAGTTTTCCAAAAGCACTGGGTCTGGCCAGGCTGAGTTAATTCTCTGCACTAACAGCTTGGGGACTGCTGTGTCAGGGCTCACAGCTCACCACGGCTCAGCTCTGCCGGGCCAGCCCTGCACAGAGCCAAGCTCTGCTCTGGCCTCATGGGCAGTGCCAGGCTGGGGGGGCACAGGGAGCTGGGAGGGGGCACAGCTGGGACCCCACTGCCCAAGGGATATCCCAGAGCACAGGGCCCCACGCTCAGCATGTGAAGCTGGGGGAAGGAGGAGGAAGGGGGATGGAGTGGTGGGGTTTGTTGTCCCCAGTGCCTGTCCCGGGGGTGCTGAGCCCCTGCCTGCAGTGGGGAGCAGTGACTGAGAGCCTGTTTGGCCCTGCACCTACAGCTTTTGTTTCCCCTGGTAAACTGTCTGTACCTCAGCCCATCAGTTCTCACCCCTTTACCCTTCTGATTCTCTGCCCCATCCCCCTGAGGGGGCTCAGCTGCCCCCCGGGACAACCCACCACGCCTGACACCCACTCCTTCAGTCTCTGCTTTCCTCCCAGATCACTGTTCCACCAAACGCTGCTGCAGTGCACAGACCTGTGCACTCTTTATGTGCATCACAACATCTAAACCTTGAAGCTCTGAGCTTGAGGAGCATCAGCCACCTCCTGCATGTACCTGCTGTGATGGCAGCTGGGTCACAGTGTGAAAGCACACAGACATGGCAGGGGTGGGTAACTCCTTCCCCACCCAACACACCTTCAGGGCCTTCTGTTGACAAAAAGCCACGTTGTTAGTAATGTGCACACCGTGTATTCTGGCCTTGCTTTTGTGTGGTGCAATATCTAAAGATGGGGAAACATCATTCTCTGCTTTGCCCTAATTCTAAAACTCTGCAACAGAAAGCCCAAACTCTCTGCAGGAAGTTTGAAGGGTTTCAATGCCCCATGAACCTTAATTGATAAATATTTCTCAGCCAGTATTTCTCTAAGATGAGTACCTGACTCAGCAAGAATGACCACGCAAACAGCTCTTCAGAAACAGTAAAAAAAAAGTAATTTCTGAAAGTGACCTCCCAGGTGCTGAGCAGCTCCAGAGCAAGGCAAGAGCAGCAGCTGTCACTGTCACTGTCACTGTGACTGCCCAGCCTGCCCTCTGAGCAGAGCTCCAGCCTCCAGCTGCAGCTTAACACAGAGTCCACCTTACCTCGTATTCCTAAAAGCCCAGATATGTGTTTAAGGGTAAAAAGCACATGTGTAAGAGGCATGAAAAGCCATGTACGATGCTGTACACCACATGTGAGGAATGGAGTGGGGGTTCCTGGCCAGTGGACAACCCCAGGACGCCCTGCTGGTGTGAGTGGGATGCCGGAGGAAGTCTGCTGCACACCTACAGAACTGCCCCTCCTTTTGGGATGGCCACTGGGACCTGCCTCCCCCTGGTGGCTGCCTGGCTGGTGTGGAGAAGCTGAGGATGCACAGGATGAGCTCTCCCACATTCCACCTGGCTCTGCAGCCCAGCAGAGCTGAGCTCCAACCCTGGCCCGAGGCTGACGCGGAGACATGACCGGGACCCACCGTGTGAGGAGGCACCCCCAGAGCTGCATTTCCCCTGGGTCATGTGCTGGGTTGGACCCCCAGCTCCAAGGTGTGCTGCATCCAGACAGGAGAGGCTCTCCCAGCAGGCTGCTGCACAGCCAGCAGGCAGCAGTGGAATTACCAACCCGGCATCCAGGCTGCTCCTCCTCGCCACCTGACCTCCCTTTCCTCCCCTCACACACACTCGAGTGCCCCCGGGAAAGCTCCCCTGGGCATGGCTGGCCAGCCCCAGCTCCACCAGCACCCTGCCCACCCTGCCCAGCCACCCCAGCTAAGCAAACACTGGTAGGAGTGGGAAGCCCTGGAGCCAGAGAGAAGCTGTGCCTGGGAGAAGCCCTGCACTCCTCCACCTCCACTGGCGACCAGCAGCAGAGACAGATTAGAGCTGAATGAAGTTACCAGCAGTAAGTAAACAAGCCTGCCCTCTTTGAAGTTCTGCTTCCCTTGAACATGAGCTCATTCCAAGAGGCCTCTTTTTGCTCAGCCCCAGGAAGCCATCAGTCTCCATGGAGTTAACTCCTCACAGGATTCCTCAACTTCCACAAGACCTCACACAGTCAGTTCAGTATGTGAGCAGAGACTGGTATAACCATGACTGACCCCCTGCATGTCTCTCCAGGTCTCCCTCATTTCAGAGGAATTCCCACCAGGAAAGAGAAACTGCCTGACTCCACTGCATGGTCCTCCAGGCTCCAGGCTGGCACAGGAAGAAAGTTTATTGGAGCAGCACTCTCAGGCCTGGGAGGATCATGCTCAACCCTCCTCCAAAGCAGGGCTGAGGAGTGAGGAAACAAGGGAGGAATTTCATAAAGAAAAGAAGGTTCCCAGTACTCCTTTCTTGTGGTTTAATCCCACAAAGTGGAAGTCAGAAAGTCTTGGGCAGGAAAGGGAGGCGACAGCCACAGAGGGGGAAGTAAAATACCACAGAGACAAGGCTGATCTCAGCTCCATAGCATTTTTGCATGGCTATGCAACCCCTGCCAATGCCTGCTCTTGTCTCAGGAGTTCAAAAAAAATGGGAAAGAGAGCAGAAATCTGCCTGAGAGTGAGGGCTGCCTCTTCCTGAGAGTGGGGAGCCGTGACTGTGGGGGCCACTGTTCACGTACGTGCAGAGTCGCTGCCGTTTGAGCTGATGTGAAAGGGAGAACCTGTCCCTGCCACCTGCCAAGGGGGAAGCACATGCTTCCCAGGATGGCTCCATGTTGCCCCACCATGGGATGCTGGTTCTGGATGATTAACTGGGCTCTGCTCACTCACAGCTTCAGCCTCTGGCAAGGGGAGGCTGGGCAGGAACAGAGCTCCCTGTGCCAGTGGCCACAGGACAGACGGACGTTCCCACTCTCCTGGGAAGGTGTGCTCCTGAAACCTTCCACCCCCAGTCTGCTGCCAGGAAAGCTCCCGCCAGCACAAATGTCTTCAGCCACTCAAGCAGTACCTGAGAAGTACCCTGGAGAAATAAGGTGAGGGCTCCTGACCCCAGGGCGCTGCCAGAGGGGTGAGGCACTGGCTGGGAGGGCCCCAGCTCTGCAGAGCCCTCAGGGCAGCAGCAGGCAGGACACAGACAACCAGCAGGAAGAGAGGGAGAGGCTGGAAACACCAAAACACAGAAATACAAGATAAACAGGAATCATCCCACCCAAGGGGAGCCCCGGCTTGGCCTGCACACAGGCCATGGGAGATGACTCTGGGCCATCCACTGCCACCGGCCTGGCAGCACAGAGCACAGCCCTGGGACACACCAGGGGACACAGAACACCACCAGCCTGACAGGGCAGCACCAGCTGACCCTGGGTTTTCCAGAGGAACAGTCTCGTCAGAGAAATGCCTTTCCTAAGCAATCCTTCAGCTCTCCTGCCCCTCATTTCAGTGACAGGCACACGCAGGGCTTGCCAGCCAGCAAACACCAGAGGGATGTGCTCGGGCACAGTGACAGCTCCCCTGGGCCTAAACACAACTGCAATGTGAGCAAGCCAGAGACACGTCCCAGAGTCCAAACAGTCACTGCTCAGGCCTTGGCAAGGCAGCAAGGCCCCCAGTCCTGCTCCTATCCCACAGTCACGGTCCTGTGAGCAAGGCAGGTACATCTGCTCCATACCTGCTCTCCCCACGTTCACAGCACAAGGCAGAACAGGGAAACTGTCCCAAGTACAAACAGGCACATTCCTGCAACTCCACAGTTCTCATTATCCCAATCCCCCTGAGAAAAACTCCACGGGAATATGTGATTCAAAGACGCAAGAAGGACTCCAAGGAAATCCCTGGAGCAGAGCAGACCTCAGCAGTGTTGTACAGCACAGTCCCTCCCCAGAGCCATCATCCTGCCCATGTTTATGGATAGCTGCTCCTCGGCACCTCAAGCCAGGCTGCTCCAGTGCTGGGGGTGTGATCACATGTACCTTTCCCATGCATGAAGCAGCACAAGAAAGCCAGACCGGGCATCCGGGTGTCCTTGCTGCCAGCCTCTGCCTGTTGCGCTGCATTTAGAGAGCTGAGTGGAGGAGAAAGAGAGCAAAGCAACAACGTGGGCCTTACCTTTTGTACCAGGGGGCTGCAGATTATCTCCAGTCAGCGAGCACCAGCCTACGGGAAAGATGTCCCGGGAATCATATCGGCACCAGTAATCGAAGGCACCTCTCCAGCCATCAAATGTTATGAGGACCTCAGAACCTCTCACCTCCCCAATGGTGGCCGGGCAGATGAAGTGAGGGTTCTTCCTGTCCACTGCCTCCAGCTTCATACCTGTCTTGAAGAAGTTTTGGGATGGAGATGGTGGTTCCTACAAGAAGAAGTAGAATATGTGCTCAAAGGGGACATGCCAGACCAGGGCTGTGCCCTCATCAGCAAACTAACCTTCACTGAAGGGAGTTAGTGGGCTGGATTTGAACCCCAGTAGGTGTGGGGTTCACTCCACAACACACTGGCTGAGCTACACAGCCCCATGCCCTTAACCAAGAGGCAACAAAGTCCACTATGGCTTGCTCTGCCCTCAGCTGGTTGCTGGACCAGACCCAGGATGTGCCATGTGAACACTGTGCCCTACAATAGCTCTGTCATGGACCACAGGCAGAAAACAGAGCTCCAAAGAAAGAGCCTCCAGAGGATACCCTCACCTTATTATCTCAGAGCTGGAAACCCTGAGATACGACAGTGTCTCTCCATCATTCTTCCCCCACCTTCAGCTTTGCAAGACGTGAGAAATTCACCATCCACCCTTATCTGGGGCTTGCTCCTGAGATCCACTAAAGCCTCTCCAACCATCCCATCCCATCCCATCCCATCCCATCCCATCCCATCCCATCCCATCCCATCCCATCCCATCCCATCCCACACGTCTCTAGCCAGCTTCTCTCTCTGACTGCACTAAGGGTGTGAGAACACAACCCATGAACTCATACTGTTGCCTCACAGCAGTATCTGCTCTACCTGCAAGCTCTGGCACATTAAAAAGTTTCAGAGAGGTGCTGACTTCTCCACCTTGCATTCCTCACTTTGAGCAGCATCTGCAGCCCTGGTGAAAAGCAGACTCATGTCTCAAGCCTGAACACTGAAGCCCAGGCCACTTGTTTAGCACAGCTCTGGCTGCATCCTGACACTGCTGGGGCACAACTGGAGAGGGCAGAGGTCTGTCCTAGAGCAGCAGCACCAAGGCAGAGCTGAGCAATGTCACCTCCCCTGGGATCAGCAGCTGTAAGTTGGGTGTTCTGCAGCAAGGGGGCCATGCCAGAAGGATCTGCACAAACAGTAAAATACCTTGTGAAAAATCCGGACAGGAGCCATCTCTGCTCCATTCAGAGTCTTCAGAAGGAACATGGGCCAGGAGGAGGCATTCAGCCGGAAGCCTGAGGAGAAGGAAGCAGAGAGGGAGACTTTTAGGCTGTGGGGGCCACTGGCTCTGGCAGCACATGCCTGCTCTGATGGGAACTCACACAACTGTGATTCCACACCACCTTCCTCCTCATGCTGCAGTCAGGTTTGACCTTTTCCAAATACTCTGAATGCAAAGTACTGTGTTGTTGAAAAGAAACATCTGGAAACAGCTGTCTGACTGCAACATTCACTTATCATAACAAAAGCCTGCCCATGGAACATCCAGGCAGAGCACTTTGTGCCAGTGCTCCAGGGATCCTGCTACAGGGAGACATGAATCAGCAAGCGTACACTCAGCCTATGGAATTTCTTCAGTAGGGAATCACACCTTCTGGGTGGCCTCCTCTACCTTTACTGTGAGCTGCAGGCAAGCTAACCTGAAGAAATAGAGGCTGTGACTTGGCTAGGAAACAGATTTAACCCCTACAGGGAAGGATGGCAGGTTTTGGCTCAACACCTTCTGTTAAAAAAGTAGAGAAATAGCAAGAAGGGGCTTATGGGAAGAAAAAAACCCACAATTTCACAAGCTCTGAGTCTACGGCACTGAGTACAACTCCACAACTGACAGGAGGCCCTGGATATCACAAAGCATCTTCTTTGCTAACTGTGTATCTTCCTGCACAGGCAGTTTCTGCTGCTCAGCTGTGTTTGGTCTGTGTTTGTGGGGTTTTGAGGGTAACCCTGGGACTGGACCTGGACTGAGAACAGCCCATGACGAGCAACATGGCAAAGCTTTGCCAGGGTTGCAAGGCTCAGCACAGCCCCTCTGCAGCCCTCAACAGTCTCATGAGCTTGGACACTAACCCAGACAGCCACGAGCTCAGGAGATGGGAGAGCTCAGCTCCCAGAGGTGCAAAGATAACATTTTGTGTGAATCACAGAATCACAGAATATCCTCAGTTGGAAGGGACCCTCAAGGATCATCCAGTTCAGCTCCTGGCCCTGCACAGACACCCCAACCATCCCACCCTGTCCCTCAGAGCGTTGTCCAAACCCTCCTGGAGCTCTGGCAGCCTTGGGGCTGTGCCCACTGCCCTGGGGAGCCTGGGCAGTGCCCAACCAGCCTCTGGGGGAAGAACCTTTCCCTGAGATCCAACCTGAGCCTGCCCTGACACAGTTCCAGCCATTCCCTGGGTCCTGTCACTGGAATTATCTATGTAAAGAGGGAGCAGCAGCAGATGTGTGCACATGGAAAACACCACAGAGAACACAGGAAATTCTTGCTGGATTTTCTCAGCCCTTGCACTCTGCAGGCAGGAAGGACAACTGCAGCACCAGCTCTGTTACCCATCTTTATGCTTGGTGCACGATCATCCCATTCCACCCCCTGCCATGGGCAGGGACACCTTCCACCAGCCCAGGTTGCTCCAAGCCCCATCCAACCTGGCCTTGGACACTCCCAGGGATGGGGCAGCCACAGCTTCTCTGGGCAACCTGTGCCAGGGCCTCCCCACCCTCAGAGGGAAGAATTTCTCCCCAGTATCTAATTTAAAGCTGCCCTCTTCTCTGGTGTGAGGTTAAGCAGGTGACACAGATTAGAGCTCCCAGACCTGTCCCAGAGCTCATCCCTCACCTCCAGCACAGCCAGGAGTGAGTTTTATCTGCAGCTCCTTAAACTTGATGCTATCTGCTGGCAAATTCCAGGCAAGGTACAGGAGGAACCCACAGCTGCCAGCCAGGAGAGGTACCCACAGCTGTTGGGCAGGACACCAGAGCTGGAACCTGCACCAGGGACTGAAATTTCTAAGAGCTGGACAGCAGCAGGCATGAAAGGAACAGAGAAAATGGCAGCTCTAGTGTTAATAAAATCACAGAACGGTTTGGGTTGGAAGGGACCTTAAAGTTCATCTCATTCCACCCCCTGCCATGGGCAGGGACACCTTCCATTAGACCAGGTTGCTCCAAGTCCTGTCTAACTTGGCCTCGAAAATATTATTTGAGGATGTGCTAATTGAGAGACATTTATGAAGACACTAAAACTAATGGGCAGCAGAATGCAAAAGCAGGTTAATCTTGCTGATCATCAGGAAAGAATCAGCAAATCAGCTCATCATTTGGCTAGTGTCAAAAAAAAAAGGAAAGAGTTGTGTGTGTTTAACTGAAGACTAGACTGGAAGAACTGTTGGACTGTCCGGTCTATTTATAAAGCTGTAGCCAAGAAAAAATAAATAAATAAGTGGGAACTACTGCAAGTGTCCCTTCACATGAGACAGAACTGAAATCACTGGGAACCTTTTCATATGTTATGTCTCCTGTGCAGGGAACCTGCTTTTGAGTCATAGGACAGTTTGGGTTGGAAGGGACCTTAAAAGATCATCAAGTTCCACCCCCCTGCCACAGACAGGGACACCTTCCACTAGCCCAGGTTGCTCCAAGCCCTGTCCAACCTGGCCTTGGACACTTCCAGGGATGGGGCAGCCAGAGCTACCCAGGGCAACAATCTTGAGCTTGAACTGCAACGAGGGCAAGCAGCTCACCTTGGTGCAGAGACCTCTTCCATCTACACTCTAAAGCGTCCTCCCCATCCACGTCACAGTGTCCACATGGAAATACAGGCCTGGTCTGGGAAACATCTGTTTCCATATCCTATCTCCCAGTGTAGGCAGGGGCAGGCCATGGGCCTCTGTCCCAAGCACAGATCTATAAAAACCCCCCAGTTTTGCCCATAGTCAGCGTAACCCTGGCTGGACAGCTGAACTCCAGCTCACCCAGGGGAGGCTGCAGCATCCCTCCATTCTTCTCACAGTTGCCAATGGGCTGGATCTCGGCAGAGTCCACCAGGCGCCAGAAGTCGTTCTTGTTGTCGCTGCCGTCGAGGCGCAGGCGCAGCCGCGCGCCCGTCAGCCCCACCACGGTGGCGATGCACGTGGACGTGGTGTTCCGGGGGTCCTGGGCTTCCAGCTTCATACTGATCTTGAACTCGTTGGCAGGAGGAGTGTATGACTGCAAGGAGAGGAGCGGGGAGCTGGTCAGAGCCAGGACTGCCAACACAAGCACCCGCTCAGGCACAAAGCTTAAGCGCTAAGGGCATAAGAACGGGGCCCAGCCAGGACTGAGGCGTCCCCCGGGCACAGCACAGGAACAGCACCACAGAAAGGTCAGCTCTGTGACACACAGCACTGTCCTTCCACACTGCACCAGCTCAGCAACTACACTGAGCCTGTTCTCTTGGAATCACAGCATCACTGAGGTTGGAAAAGACCTCTAAGATCATCGAGTCCAACCATTCCCACAGCACTGCCAAGTCCACCACTAACCCACGTCCCCAAGCACCACATCTACACGTTTTCTGAACTGCTCCAGGGATGGTGACTCCACCACTGCCCTGGGCAGCCTGTTCCACGGCCTGATCACCCTTTCAGTGAAGAAATTTTCCTGATATCCAACCTAAACCTCCACTGGCACAACTTGAGGCCATTTCCTCTTGTCCTGTCCCTTGTTCCCTGGAAGCAGAGCCTGACCCCCACATAGCCCCACCCTCCTGTTATAGAGAGTGAGAAGGTCCCCCCTGAGCCTCCTTTTCTCCAGGCTGAGCCTCCCAGCTCCCTCAGCTGTTCCTTGTGCTCCAGACCCTTACCAGCTCCATTCCCTTCCCTGGACATGGATCAGCCCCTCAATGTCTTCCTTGTTGTGAGGGGCCCAAACAGAACCCAGAATCTGAGGTGCATCCCTACCAGTGCTCAGCACAGGTAGGGCTGTGCCTGTTCTTGGAAGGTTAGCCCTGTTCTTGGAAGACTAATCCAGCCAACCCCAGACCCAAATAAACCCCTCCCTGTGCTACTCCCCTCCACCCGGACCCATGTCCCATGGCAATTTATCCTGCAAACCCTGTACTCAGCAAAACCACCTCTGTGCTCACTGCCTGCTGCCCAGGGAGCTGCTATTCCATTCACAAAGATGGGTGAATTCTGCAGAAAATCTCCTTACTGGGCAGGATCCACCAAAAGCTGGATCACAGCCTACTCAGGACACTTTCTCCAAGGGCCTCTGCTCAGCAGAGTAAAGGCACACTCATGCTCCCATTGTGCATATCGAGTAAAATCTTCTCTTCTACTCTAAATGTATCTCTTGAATCTTTACTTCAGCACACTTGGATTTCTGTTAAGTCTCCAATATCCTTAAGTGTTTTCCTCACCAAACCAGGGGCCTATCCCAGGTACAGAATTCGGGGGTCCCCAGTGGACCATCACCCTTGACCTTTCTTGTTTTCACCCTTACCTGCTTGAAGCAATGGGCAGGAGCTGGGATGGCACATGTCTCTTTCAGGTATTTCTCCCAGGTGAAGTGACCTGAGAAGTAAAAACGAAAGGAATCAAACAGGAATTGATGAGCAGATTTCTCAGAAAAAGAGCTGGCTGGACTCCTGACGCCGGCAGTTCTGCACTTCTCACAGAGGAGGTGCTCACAGGCAACATGTTTTCATCAGGAACCTCTGATGTTTGTGAGCACAGAAGATTTACAACTGCAAGTGACAGGCAGAACAAAGCCCAGTGCTGCCTTCGGCATCTTCCTGCCTCTGTGCTGCCGAGAAGGGGCTGCACAGAGCCAGGGTAACAACCTACAGCCTAATGGAAAACACCCAGCACAGATGGGAATCTGCAGGGTCTTCCAGACAACTGTCCCTTAAAAACCATTAATTAAACACATCACTCAGTCTGGGGCTTATGAACAGTCACCATGGGCTACAAGCAGCCCAACCTGGGGGCTGGAACAAGATGATCTGTAAGGTCCCTTCCAACCTAAGCCATTCTGTGATTCCATGATTCTAAATCAACAGGAACCTGCTCTGTAGTGACTACATGGTCCCCCTGGTCCAGCACACACAGCCCACCCGGCAGCTCGGAGCAGGGATCAGCCCAACCCCAGCAATCAGTACAGGCCAGCAAACAACTCCCTGAAGTGGCCAGGAAGTCCACAGCACGGGCAGGATGGGAGCAGGGATCCTCCAAATGGGGATTTACTGAGCTCAGCACCTCACACCCAACACAAGTCCCCTTCCACCGAGTGCAGCGCGTTTCCTCCTGCCTGCCCCTTCCACACGTCCAGCAGGAAGGGTGACAGCAATATGCCACCCAAGGAAACCTGTTATTAAATGAGGAATTGAAAGCTCTTGTGATCTGAGCAAATCATGACTTTTGCCATTTACACTGAGCAGCTGGGAGAGGATCCTTCCAGGCTGACATTCGCTTGTATTCATCCCAAGGGCTCCCAGGAGGCCGCTGTTTGCAAAGCATTTCAAGAGCACTGGTGGCAGCACAATTAAAGTCAGCTACTACTTCCCCAAGTCACAGGCAAGTTCTTAATCAGCCTATTTTCAAAACAAAAGCTACATTAAGAGCCACTTCAGCTACTGCAGCACACACCACACCTCTGAAAATTCAGGCAGTAAGATCAGCACACATTGCTTCAGAGCTGCCTTGTGGGCACAGAGGAGCCTTCATCATCTATGAGCTCCAAATAAATACAAGGAACACTGCTTTCTTGCCACCTCCCATGCAGATGACTAGCACACTGTTAAATACAGGGAAAATTAACAGAAAAAATACAGTTTCATTGCCACACTGGTTGAATATTGCTGTTTACAGACTGACAGCAGCTCTCCATGCCCCAGAGTACTTCGTTCCATCCACTGGTACATATTTTCCTTTCAGCCACAGCCTCACATTGGGTGAATGAAGAAATTCAGTGAGTTACTGCAATGATGTTCTCATAAAACCAAAAATTTTTTGGTTTAATTGAAGATACAATTTTACACTCAGTTATGTCAATGAAACTCGTTGTATGAATAAAGTGGAGGCAAAGCAAAGCCAGGCACTCCTGGCCTAGAAATGCCTTATGCATCTCACCCCTTAACTCTGGTTGCTGATCTGGGCTTATCTTAGACCAGGGTAGCCCTCCAGAGGTCCTGGAGCACAGGGGATGCCCAGCTGACAGCACGGGGCCCTGATCCAGCAGCTTGAGCAGGATCAGCTGTGCTTGACAATTTTTTTTTAAAAAAACCCACCGAACCCCCCCCTCTCCTCAGCTGGCTTCAATCCATTTTAATCTTTCCACTTTTCACTCCCTCCACACCAAGCAAGGCCCTCCTGCTTCCCACAGCAGCTCACCCCAGAGCCAGGATCCACCCTGCACAATCCCAGCAGGAGCAGGGAACTCTTGAGACAGCTGTGGGCCTCCAAAAATAGTGTTTGGACATGGAACTTATTTGAGATTAATTCTAGAGCCCACTGGGACTCAACCACCATATGAAGACACACACAACACTAGAACTGCAAGTTCTTTAGGACCTGAGGGAATGCTGGAGCTGTGTCAGGGCAGGCTCAGGTTGAATCTCAGTGAAAGGTTCTTCCCCCAGAGGCTGGTTGGGCACTGACCAAGGCTGCCAGAGCTGCAGGAGGGTTTGGACAATGCTCTGAGGGACAGGGTGGGATTGTTGGGGTGTCCTGTGCAGGGCAGGAGTTGGATGGATGATCCTTGAGGGTCTCTTCCAACTCAGGATATTCTGTGATTCTCTGAGTCTTACGACTCGTGGTTCTGGTGATTTATTTTGCACAGAAAAACAGGAGCAGCAGAAATACTTCTAAAAAAAGACTGAGCTGATACAGCAGCATTCAGCCTTCCCTCCCTCCCCCTCTGTTCACTACTGGCCATTCCCCTGCACAGATGGCACAACTAGCACAGGTAGAGCCTGCACTTCTTTTTTAGGATTACTCTCAAACCAGGATAAAACCTGCAGACTGGAGGCTGTCATCACTCCTTTAGCATGAGAGGAGATCCTGCACAGAATGTAGGGAATGGGTTTAAATGAGTTCAGTAATAGTATCACAATATAATATTTTCAAGCAGGAATTTCAAAGTACATTTAAAGTTAACCAAATATAATCAGCTTCAACCTAAAGACTGCAGGAAGAATCAGACAAAAATGGCATAACACTAAAGTTGGGTTTTTTTACAACAAAGCGTTGGTTGCCAATAAAACAGAAAAAGCAGGATGCATTGAGGGTTGGTTAACAGGGGAGCAGAACACAAGCCCTGAGCTCTGTCCTTGAGGAAGGGCACGTGGTTGAAAAGGGACACATCACGCCCGACCCTCTCAACCTCAGCTCTCCTGTACCCAAATCCTGCTCACCACACTGATTCTCACTCACTTTCCACACCCAGCTCCAGACAGGTCTCCCCTGGAGCTCCACACCAGCCGTGCTGTCAGCCAGGACACCATCAGCCTGTGCTGCTGCTGCCATTCCACAGGCTCCCTGGGGATGGAGGTGCAAGGCCAGAGGGAAAAACTGACAGTGTGCTGCCTGGCTTTCTCCTTAGCACTGACCAACTGTCTCATATTTTATATTCTCTCAATATTCTTATCCATATTGATAAATTGGATGCCTTATTGTGGAGGGACAGGACATTTTAGTCTGCAAGATGCTTGTTTCTGATCTGGCCTGGGCATGTAACCCTGGTTCCCAAGGGTTGGTCAAAAAGCACTGATGACTTTTCCCCACTTGCCAGTGAATCCCTTTGCTTCCTGAAGAAACATCAGCCAGTCCTTTTTACTTGTGATAGAGCAGGAGTGTCCAAGGCCAGAGCTGACTGTAGGGAATGAAATCCTCTCTAGCCCTGAAAAGCAAAGGGGAATGCTTGCTCCACTGCTGCTGGCTTCCAGTAGCACATACAAACTCTCCTACCAGCCCTAAAATCACCCTCTATTTCATCTGGTCTCTGCCTGCTCTTTCATGTTCCCTCCCCTGCCTTGCAGAACACACCACTGGAAGGATCCCCATTGGAAAGGACTGTTCCTCCAGATAACACACACAGAATCACATGATAAAATGGTTTGGGTTGAAAGGAACCTTAAAGCCCAGCTCATTCCACCCCCTGCCATGGGCAGGGACACCTTCCACTAGCCCAGGTTGCTCCAAGCCCTGTCCAACCTGGCCTTGGACATTCCCAGGGATGGGGCAGCCCCAGCTTCTCTGGGCAACCTGTGCCAGGGCCTCACCACCTCATAGGGAAGAATTTCACCCTAATATCATCTAATATCATCTAACCTAATATCATCTAACCCTGCCCTCTGGCAGTGGGAAGCCATTCCCCTTTGTCCTGGCATGCCAGGCCCTTGTCCAAAGTCCCTCTCTGCAACTCATCAGATCTTTTTCACAGGAAGAAATGGGAGAAAAACACTTAATGAGAAACACCCCATTTTTGCAATAACATCTGTGAGTCAAACAAAAGCCAAGGACTGTGAACCTGAGTGACTCCCTGGGACTCGGCCCTGGAAATGCCACTGTCACTTGTCACTTGTGCTTGCCTTGGGGAAACTCCCTGACATGTGCTCATGCCGAAGGGAGATATTACTTGCAGGCAGAGAGTCAGATTTGGGCTCTGATGTCTTAACCTTCAAAAATATTTACTCCTAACAAAACACTCTGCACACCCAAGGGGTCAAACTCCAGTAGTCGTGAACAATGCAGCCCTGCACCCTCATGTTTGGATTCTCTTCATGTTGCATTTAACATTGAACCTTTGCCCAGAATTTAAATGAAGATGGAGTTTCTGTTTATATCTTTAACTGAAGTCTGGTTTGGGCTCCATTAGCATTTTGGCTCCCGAGGGGTCATCAATCCAACTGAAACAATACATGTGCGTTTCAGGTCACATCTGTGAAGGAGAACGTGCCCTGCTCAGATCAAGGCATCCCATTAAAGTCTGCAGCCCATATGTGTGGCTGCCAAGGAGCAGCAAGGCAGCACATGAAAGCAGCCCAGTATGAAAAGGAGCAGAGCACTGTCTGGGCTCGCAGATCCTGGGCCATGGGAGCTGTCCTTGATGTCTGAACGTGGCTCCCGGGGCTCAGCTTTGCCACCGGCTCCGCACGGTTCCTGCCTGTCCCACCGTTCCCATTCCCAGGCACTCTGCCCAGCCATCAATCTGCCTGCACATGCTCCACTGGGAACAGCTACAGCCCACAACAGGAGCCCCATCACTCCCTGTCCTGCTCAGCAAATGTGAGAACGTGCGAATCAAAACGAAGAGGTTTCAACCACCTGGACTGTCTGGTCTGCTCTGTTCCTCCTTAGAGGAGTCCTAATTCAGTGTTAGCTTTGAACAGAAATCCTTCCAGCCATGCCAGAAAGATGCTGCAGTTTCACCCCCTCACTGTATAGAATCACAGAATCGTAGACAGGTTTGGGTTGGAAGGAACCTTAAAGCCCATCTCATTCCATCCCCTGCCATGGGCAGGGACACCTTCCACCAGCCCAGGTTGCTCCAAGCCCCGTCCAACCTGGCCTTGGACACTTCCAGGGATGGGGTAGCCCCAGCTTCTCTGGGCAACCTGTGCCAGGGCCTCCCCACCCTCACAGCCAAGAGTTTCTGGCCAGTATGCCACCCAACCCTGTTCCTGGCAGTGGGAAGCCATTGCCCCTTGTCCTGTCACTCCAGGCCCCTGTCCAAAGTCCCTCTCCAGCTCTCTTGGAGCCGCTTTAGGCACTGGAAAGGGCCCCAAGTTCTCTCTGGAGCCTTCTCTTCTCCAGGCCCCAACTGTACCAGGATGTACACCCCAGTTTCGGGCAGTGATGAGCTGCACAGAGGTTCTTGCAGGGAGGTGACCCCTGATCCTCACTGCTGCACCATGCGCTTGTCGAGCAGCCCTATGCACCCCAGCTCCCCTGCAGCCCCCCTGGGCCACAGCCCTGGCATGCAGTGGGTGCAGGGTTGGCGTGCTGGGTCACCAGGAGCGCTGCATTTCACAGGAAGCTCCATTTCAGGTCAGTGTGGCCACTGAAAAACAGCCCATCCTCTGCCATCTGCAAATGGAGCAGGATGTGGAGCACAGGGAAACTGCAGTGGAGCCCCCAGCACCCCAAAGGCTGAGTACACACAGCCCATGTTAGCTGGGGGAGAGAAAGAAGGGGGAAGGAAGGAGGGGGAAGAAGAAGGGGGAGGAGGAAGGGGGAGAAGGGAGCTCTCTTACCTTGGTACTGGGAGGGAGACTCTGACGGGCGGCTGTACTTGTGCTTCTTACCATCTTTCCAGTCTATGGCTGAGACAAGAAATAGAGCATTTGTGTGAGGGAAAGGAGCCAGGTAATGCACCCTTCAACACTGCCTGCCTTACAGGCCCTTCAGAGGAGCAGAGTGAGCTCCCTGTCGTGCCCCCAGGTGACATGGATGATTTGCCCCCATCTCTGGGGTGTGCTCCCTTCCTCCCCGCAGCTCATGCACATACCTGACACGAGGTACCTGCATTTGCACCTTGGTCCCTGCCTAGACCCCACCAGCCACTGTTCTCCCCCAGTGATCAGCAATAAGAGAAAGAGCAGCAAACTGCTAGAGCTCCATCATTTTAGCCATGAGAAGAAGAGCTCGAGAGAACAAACACAACAGCCACTGAAAACGGCTCACATGGATCTTGGGCACCGAGAAGTGGAGCCTGAATCTCTCCTTGGGTATCAACTCCCGGTCATTTCCCACAAACAGCCTCGGCCCTCTCTGGAGATGGGGAGAGGACCTCCCTGAAAATCTGCACAACTGCCCTTTCCACGTACAACACCAGGTTTCCACATGTCCTGCCCAGCTCAGAGGAGAGCACAGCAAAGCAGCACCAGCTCTGGAGAGCAGCTCATCTGAGCTGCCTTTGCTCACGACAGCTTTGGGCCTCAGAGTTCCAAAAAAATTAAAGTTCCCAAAGACAGCTCTGGAAAGGGACAGAGCAAGGAGCAGGGAATGCTCATCCCTGCCTCCAGCAGCCTCCAGCCCAACGGAGGGATGGCAGACCAGGCTCACCCTGAGCCAGCTCCTCCACCTGCTGCTGCTCGACTGGGCACCCTGGGAGTGCTGCTGCACTCCAGCTCCTTTATTTTACAGAGCACTTTAGGGCTACTGTAAATGACAATTTGGCAGTGCCCTTTGTGGTGCCTTGCCCCCACAAAAAGCACTTCCTTGTGAAAGGAAGGACAACAATAACAGGAACAGTTTCAAAATCTCCTGACAAGCAGCTGGAAGAGGTAGGCCATGAGCTGCTGCTGGAGTGACCTGGGGTGTCTTAATATGTCTGGAATTGCCTTTGGACAATTATTTTTGCAATCTTCTCTTCCTGACATGCTCTTTTTAGCACAGAGGACAGGATGGCATACAGGTTTTACAGCTCTGGAAAGTGATAGAGCAAGAAGCAGGGGATGCCCACCCCTGCCTCCAACAGCCTCCATCCCAACGGAGGGATGCCAGATCAGCATCCCTTAAATGAACATGAGGGACATATGGAGTGTGGCCACAGTGTCACCAGACACAGACCAGACAAAGAACCTCCTTGGAGAGACATAAATGAATGAAAAGGATTGAAGGACACCCTTCCTACAAATGCATTACCATGAAGGACAGTATTCTGCCACCTCCCTAAGAAAGCGAGAATAAAGGACATAAAGTATTTAAGTCAGAAGCAAAGAGCCCCCTGGGTGGGTAAGGCTCCCCTCAGTGCTGCAGGACAGCTCTAACAGCATCTGTGCACTCAAAGGAGCCTCTCACCACCCTCTGCAGGTGAAGGTACATTTTGTTCTTAACCTTTAACATGCAAAAATCCTCATTAAGCATGATACAAAAGCAGCAGAGAGAGAGAAACACAAGAATTTCTGCAGACAAATAAAGAAACAGTGAAAGTTCAATGCATTATTAAAAAAGCAGGTAAGTAGGACAGAAACCCACGTGTGCACGATGCAGGTGTTGCCTTTGCAACCTATGTCACAGCACTGGCGGCACAGGGCACACAGCCAGGCTGGCTGGAGGCACCAGGCTCCATGAGCCCAGAGAACAAGCTGTGTATGAGGCTAAATCCAGTCAGCCCAGTCCACAGCCACACTGCTGACTAATCAACCTGCCTCCTTTATTGCCAAGCCCTCCAGCTGCCTCGCAGCAGGGTCTCCCCACTCCCTGCTCTCCTTCATTTATTTTCACTTCATTAAAGGACAAGCAGTGTTAGGAAGAGGCTAATGCTGCCGTAAGATGAACCACCACAGAAGCAAAGGAGACACTTAAAAAAAATAAGGGAGGAGAGAAATGGAGCATAGAAATCTCCTGCAATAAACCTTGGGAGTGTGGAGCAGATGTGAACAAAGAGCTGCGGAGGATGCTCTGTCCTCCCGCCCTCCCTTCCCCCAGCCCGGGAGCGTGTGATGAGATCACTGCAGCCCAAGGCACAGGCAGGGCACAACACCAACGGAAATCAATAGTTCTGTGAAGCACAAGAAGCCAGAGCAGCTCAGCTGCAGGCAGCAGGCTCGGTTGCACCCTTTCTGTTGGGGATGCACATCCCAGGTAGCACGTGTGCGGCTGTGAGGGGCCGAGGGACACGAGGGAGCCTGGGACAGATTTCCTCTCCACAAGGTAGGCTGGTCCCTGGTTTCATGCCTCATTAGAACGGGGAGGCCTGTGCCAGCAGAGCCAGTTTGCCTCACACTGGGAGCACTGGCAGATGGTGTGTGCCGTGGGTTCTGCAGAGCACCCTCGCTGCTGACACCGCACCCCAGCTCCCGACCAGCCCTCGGCTGTGCCCAACGTCACCGCTCACCTTTCTGAGGGCCTGGTTTCCGCATTCTACCACCTGCTGCTGTCCTGCCCCGGAACTGGCTTGCTCTTAGAGAACTGAAGGTGTCTAGGACAAAAGAAATAAAGATGAGAAAATTCCCCATTCTGGAGCACACTGAACCATGAACTCATCCCACAGAGGAGGAAGCACATGCTCTGTCACCCGAGGTTGCACAGAGCACTCACAGTTCATGTCACCCCCTGAAACTACAAAACTTCCTCCAATTTGTGGACAACTTCAAATTCATGGCAGCAGGAGCAGCATAAATAAGCACAAAGAGCACATGCCCATCTCTGTGCTCACCCTACAGTGGGTCTGGAGCGTGTGTGTGGAAGGAGAGGCTACTCCCACTTACTAACAAAGGGAAGCGGAGCTGAGATTTATGAAAGAAAACACATGGAAACATAACATTAATTCTGGCAAAGCAGCACAGCAATCCTCAGCTCTCCACTTGCAATTCAAATTGCTCATAGAAGTTCTGGGGAATAAGGATGAGAAACTGGACAATGATCCAGGAAATACTTTTGCTGTTAGCACTGCCCCGAGTGTCCAAGTTGTGCTGCAAATTCTTTTTTCCTGGTTGGAGGAAAACTGGCTGGACTGTCCCCAACAAGTAGAAGCGTTTGCATTCTTGTTATAAGCAAATATTCCTGAGAATCAGGGCTCTTGGGAGATGTGTGCTGGGCACATAGAGAGAGCTCAGTGCCTGGCACAGCCGCTCTCCCAGGGCAGTGCCCACTGCACACACCGAGCCTCACCAAGGCCTGCCAGAAAATATCCAAATGAATGGCTGAGCCACAAACAAGCCCTCGGGAAAGGCAGGAAAAGCATGTTTTGACACTCCACTAAGTAATGAAAGATTAATTGTGTCAATATAACTCCATTTTGTTCACAGTGGGGCAGTCAGGAGGAGGATGGAACAGGAAGCTGTCTCAGGACACAGTGCCGAGTCGCTGCTTAAAGGGTTATTTACAGCTCCAACTTGGCAAGAAGTTGGGATTTTGAAAACCAAGCTTTTTCCAAACCTAAGAGAAATAAAGACTTTAATTTTCTGTAACAGCACCATAAACTACAGCCTTTACTTGCAACACTGAGCAATACTCTGAGAAGAAAAATACGGAAGGAATTAAATACTAAAGGAAAAAAATCCCTGGCTGTTTTTTAATCCAAATCAAGAGGTGCACAGTAGTCACTTATTGCCTCTCTTCTAAATACTGTGTGTGTCTGTACACACTTGTGAAAGGAGTAAAGTTTCTTTCCCTTTCAATAGTGGAAGGTAACCTACATGTGAAAGGTTATTTACAACACTTAAAGCTTCTTTTCATAATTTTCTTCATTCCTTTTTATTAAAGACTAGCAGTCTGGCAGGAAAAGTCCTCCAGACATAAAACCCAGGCCGAAAGGTGTTACATAAAGGCACCAGACAAGCATTTGCGATCTCTGGCACTGCCCCTCTTCTGTCTGTGGGACTTTCTGAAGCACCTACACACACAGGATTGTGGAAGCCTGTGGCTGGAGACGAGGGTACACTCCTGCACTCTCCACTCTCAGGCAGGGAATAACCCTAATGCGGCTCAGGGAGCACCTTCTCACTCTCTACAGCTCCCTGACAGGACAGTGGAGCCAGGTGGGGTCAATCTCCTGGGTAATCAGTGACAGGAGAAGGGGAAACGGCCTCCAGTTGTGCCAGGGGAGGTTCACGTGGGACATCAGGAAGAATTTTTTCACAGGAAGGGCTGTCAGGCATTGGAATGAGCTGCCCAGGGAGGTGGTGGAGCAGAGTCACAGTTGGAAAGGACCCAAAAGGATCATCCATCCAACCCCTGGCCTTGCACAGACACCCCAACCATCCCACTCTGTCCCTCAGAGCATTGTCCAAACCCTCCTGGAGCTCTGGCAGCCTTGGGGCTGTGCCCACTGCCCCGGGGAGCCTGGGTAGTGCCCAACCAGCCTCTGGGGGAAGAACCTTTTGCTGAGATCCAGCCTGAGCCTGCCCTGACACAGCTCCAGCCACTCCCCTGGGTCCTGTCACTGGTCACAGAGAGCAGAGATCAGAGCTGCCCCTCTGCTGCCCCTGGGTTTTACTAACACAGGGCTTGGGAATTGATAATTCCCACTGATTGTAATTTATAGTTGCCCAGAGGAGCTGTAAAATCTCCACCCTTGGAGATATTCCAAATATCACCAGCTGCCTCCCCAAGCAGCCTGATCTAACCTTGTAACTGAGTCTGATTTCAAAGTCAGGCCAGCTCTGCATGTGGTGCTGGACAGACAGCCTCCCTAAGCTCCTTCCAACCTGAAACACCCAAGGATTTTATCTCCCTGACAACAGATTGGAAGGCAAGAGGAATCACTGTAAAGGTTTCACCAAGGCTGAAATGCCCCAGTGAGGACAGATTTCAGTGCAGAGGGAAGAAAGGGACTGGCAGAACAGGCTCTCAGGGCACTGCAGGACAGGAGCACCGTGGTACCAAGGGACAGGGCCTTTGCTCTGCTCAGGCACTGCAGAGCAAAAAAACGTGGAAGTACTAAATAGTAGGAGATACAGTTTGGTATCTAAGGGGGGGAAATGATCCATCCACAGAGACAGATCTGGAATGACCTCAGACACAAACATGCCGCTGCTGGGGACCCGTTGGCTCGGCCCATGGCACAAAGGACACAATCTTCCTGCTGCATCAAACAAAGCCTCTGAGATTCCCACAGCCCAGCACACACTGCAATGCTCCATCTCCAGAACCTGACAATTATACAGAACTGCACACCGGCGTTAAAACTCCCCTTGTTTTCAAAAGCTGTGTTTCTCCTGCTTGTGGAGATCAAGATAATCTCCCAAGCACGGACCACAGTGTTAGTGTTGGTTTCCAGAATTTATAGCCTGAAAGGACAGATCAATGTGCAAATTCATTTCGGCAGGATGCTACCTTAAAAATGGAAAAAGGCCAACTGATTTGCTGCCTTTAGTAGCAGATAAAGTGCCTTTCCCACAGTTTCAAACAACTTTCACTCACCGAGATATCAAAAGTGCCAAGGGCTCCACTGAACTGTCATGGGCTCTAGTTCCCCATCACTCCTCCAAGACAGCAGAGTCAGTACAAACACTGCGGCATAGCAAAACCTGAAAGCAGAGAGACAAAATGAAAAAGTTTGCATTTAATTGCAGAAAGGCTACGTTACCAGCTGCATTATTCATGTTCATATTTAATTCATTTAAAACATCCAAATTTAAATTTAAAGACAGCTGTAACAAACATTCCCACTTGCCATCGCAAAGCAGTGCAGAACTTGACACAATTTAAGTTCAGCTTGCAGTGAGTACACGGGACTGCGGCTCTTAAACACCTTTGATATGAGTAAGATCACATCAACTGAGCTGATAGAAACTAGTTCAGCTTTTGTAAAATGAAACTATCACACAAAGGAGGATTGAAAAGACTAGACCTGATTAGTAATGAAAAGGAGAGAGATCACATGAGAGGCACATAAAATAATGAGTAGCATGAAGGGAGTGAACTGGGGACTCCAAATTATCCCTTCCCAGTGCAGCAGAGCAAACCTACAAAACTAAAAACTCCCAAGTATATACCAGGGAGAAGGAAATGTTTATTGGAAATTAACAGATGTGCAACTTTGTCATGGAGGAAGTTGTCAAGAGAAGCAAACCTTTAAATAACCTTAAAAATGACAAAGACATCGAAAAGCAAATGAGCACTTATAATGGTATCAAAGTACAAGATGCACAGGCCAAAGGCACCCAGACCCCAAGCAAGAGCTGAGTGAAGGTGGGGTGCATAGCTGGACCCTGCCCACCACATCCCTGCCTCAGCTGGACCCTGCCCACCACATTCCTGCCTCAGCTGGACCCTGCCCATCACATCCCTGTCCATCACATCCCTGCCTCAGCTGGACCCTGCCCATCACATCCCTGTCCATCACATCCCTGCCTCAGCTGGACCCTGCCCATCACATCCCTGTCCATCACATCCCTGCCTCAGCTGCTGGGTTTGGCGAGGAAAAGCCAAGCCCTTGCCTGGCTGTGGGTACCGGCTCACAGCCAGAGGCAGGACACCAGCTCGAGACATGGTTTGTTCACACCCTGGTGACCCCTGTGCTGGGTTACACCGAGTTCCACACCTCTGAGGCATGGGCTTTTTCCTTGGGCAGCAGAAAGGCAGCCAGGGCTGGAAGAGTATCCCAGGGCATGCCCAGCTCTGAGCGTGGCTCCCTCTGGCAGCCACAGAGCACAGCCCACAGCACAAGCACCGCTGAAATGCATCTTAATCCAATTAAACTCTCACCCCCACTGCTCTTACCAACAGGCTCTTCCAAAAGCTCATCCCTAAGGGGAGACAGATTCAATTTACCTGTGCCAGATTGGAAGGGACCTGCAGGGTTAGAGGGGAGCCTGCTCCGCAACATTCTTCCCCCAAATGTGGCAACTGCAATGGCAGTAAAACAAAAATGAGAAAATGTGGGTAGAAGACGCTGTCCCGTCTCTGCAGACCTCATGAGATGCATGTAATCCCTTTATCTCCAAAGCCTCCGCTCCTTCGGAGCGCATAATTATGAAAAGAGTTAAAGCTGAGGCTCTTAATGTCTCTTCTAGGCACTTCTTTATTCCACTCAAGGCACCAGTCACATCTGAATTATTTCCTGGGGTTGTTTGGACTTCCTATTATACAGGGATGATTATGGTGAACCTTGGGATGGAATCCAAGTTGGATCTCAGCATTACCATGTTTGATTGAAAGGGGAGCTGAAGGTTTGTTGACAGTGTGCCAAGCTTCAAACCTCGCTGGACAATGCTGCTGCCAGCAGGCCAGAGGCTTCCAGAGAGGAGAGGGAGAAAACTACCCACAGTGAAGCTGAAAAATGGTTTTATGAGGTCAGATGCATACCCCACAGATTAGGATGGGGGGAAAAAAGGGAACTGTGCATATTGCCAGAGGACTGTGAGAATGACGCTTCTTGGAAATCCCATGGGACAGCCACGAGAGAATCCTGATGGTTTCTCCGGATGCAAAGCGCCTGGAGTCATTGATTTTTTTCCCCACGAAAGCACAGGTCTGGAGCGCCATGACCACTGCAGCCAGTAAAAATCCCTTCCATGCAACCTCTGCTTCAGCTGAGGTTTCCCTCACAGTCATCTTTCCATCAAACACAATTAGTGTTTCCAGCAATAAAGAGCTGTCCTTTATGATTCCCTCAGGAAATGCCAGGGCAGCACTGTAAGCTCCTGCCCATCGTGGGTGACGGTGCTGCTGCCATTCCAACCTCCCAGCTGGAGGCTCTGGCTGTGCCAGGTCCTGTTTCAGCTCTGTTCTGGAAGCCCATCTGTGCACCATGGGTTACATGGGAGCATCCAGTGGCATCTCAGCCCCATGAGAAAACCAGCATGGACACATGATAAGCAGATCATTCAGTCATAGAACTGGAAGGGACCCAAAAGGGTCATCCATCCAACCCCTGGCCCTGCACAGGACCATCCCCAACAATCCCACCCTGGCCCTGGGAGTGTTGTCCAAACCCTCCTGGAGCTCTGGCAGCCTTGGGGCTGTGCCCACTGCCCTGGGGAGCCTGGGCAGTGCCCAACCAGCCTCTGGGGGAAGAACCTTTTCCAACCTCAGCCTGCTCATTTAACATCTTCTTTTGCCATTTTTAACCTCTGTGGTGGAGAAAGAAAGGCACTTTCAGCCTACCTGAGAAATGAGAGGACTGTCAGTGCACGATCTGACACCTCTGATCACTTTTGGTTTTCACAGCACACTTGACTCAGATTTCTGCCTAACCCGTGGACACCAGAACTTTTGCTGGTCTAAACCCACAAACCCCAGGTTTTCCTCTCAATGCTCTGGTGAGCTGACTGACCTCTCTCCTGGGCAGAAGCCAAAGACCAGCAGGCAGCAGCCAGGACTGAGCACCAGCCTGCTTGGAACCAGACATGCAGGCAAGGAGTCCTAAACCTAAATGCCAAACAAAAGCTTATGTGGGACCTGAAGGAAACTCTCAGGAGTGGAGCAGCTGCAGAGTTTGAGGAGGGGAGTCAGAAGTTTTCTTGACCAATGAGTTAATTTCCTTCCATCTTCCTGCTATCATCCTCCTGGACAAGAGTGGAGTTTTAATTCTCCTTGTCTGTGCAAAGCCACATTTTTGGCAGCTCCAAACAAAGGCTGATGAAGCTACAGCACCTCTGGAAGCACCTCCCCTGATCAGGGGGAGGCGTACTGTACAATGAATGCTGGTATTTCCATCTGGAGTACTGATCCCCTTGTGTGAGCTGAAATACCTGATGGCTGCAAACCATTACTCCTCTTTCTACCAGAAAGATTTTGTGTAATTTCCAACATCTCTCTTTCTCTGGAACTAATTTTATCTTTCTACCATGTAAGAAGTGGACTGATAAACTCCAGACTTCACGACAAGCTCCTCACAAACACATTCTTGTGTTAACACACTGAGGTGTCTCGAAGATGTGATCACAAGTAACACACTTCCTCAGCCCCTGAGCCAAGTCTCAGGGGAGCACATATTTTAAAAGACAAAAACACGTGAAGAACTTGGATAGATCATGTCTGTACAATGAAAATATTAACTTTATTACTTCCTTTTGAACACCTTCAGGGTGGAAGGGAGAGGAGATGGGTCAACCTCCTAGAAAGTGGCAGCTGGACCATCAGACACTGCTGAGTTGAGCTCAAGGGATCGTCTTCAGCATGAGTGTGAAAACCAGGGACCAGTGGGAGGAATCATCACCATGAGGGAACCTACAGCAGTTACCAGTGCTCATGACTGCAGAGGAAATGAAATAAAACCTTGCAGGATTCCAGTAAAGGTTTCCTTCGCTATCAAAAAAACCCTCAGCATGGGCCTTGGCTCAAACCAGAAATATCCTGATGTGTATCACTGTGAGCAGACCTGGCTCTCCATGAAGACTCAAGAGGCTGCAATAAAGACAAGTTTGGCCCACTCCAGGAACAGGATACCCAGGCTGAGAACTGAGAGAGGAAAGGGCTTACAACAAAAGCCAGGTGAGATAATCTGGCTCGAGTCTGCTAAAGGAAGCCCCTTAACAGGATGAATCTTCTCAGTACAGACATGTTTACTGACGAGCTGGGAGTTACAGTCATCCTGCTCCGCAGCTGCCATTTCTGCAGAGAGAGGAGTGGGCCCTCCAGCCCCTCAAATCCCCCTTGGAAAGATGGGGCTTGACTGCTGTAAGAAATCCTCACACTGGGGAAAAATCAGAACTGCTTTTGTTCTAAGACTAGTGATGGTTTGTTTCTCAGAACCCAAAGCCATTCCCCTCCCTCAAACAGAAAGAAAACAGTGCAAAACCTAAAGCCTTCCCATTCAGGACAACATGAAATCTTGGAATGGTTTGGGTCAGAAGAGACCTCAAAGATCCTCGTGTTCCAATCCCCCTGGATTGGAACAGGGCAAGGATATACAGCACTCAGAGGATCCTGTGCTGCTCCTCCCCTGGCAGAGCCATGTTCAAGGCTTGGAGCCAAGGCCTGGGCTGCCTCCCATTGTCAGGGACAGGGAATGGCCCACCATGAACACAAACTTAAGCTAATCATACAAATCCCCTGTGGCCACAGCTGAGGTTAAGGAAGCTTCACTGTGCTCCACAATCATTTCAGCGACCCCTTCATGGCTGGTCCTGCTGCTGAAGTCACTCTGAGGTTCTGTGTCGCTGTTCTTCCCCTGGGTGAGCAATGTCTGTGTCCCACATCCCCACGTAAACGAGGCCACCAGCACCACGGCTGTCCAAAACTGCTCTGCACAAGCTTAGGGAAAAGCGGCAGGTCTCTGTTTCTGGGTGTTACGCAGAGACATTTCTGACCTGCACCACCACTGTACCTCAGTGGAGCTCTCCCAGATGCACTGCAACAGCACCCAACAGGGAGGACTGGCTTTTTGGGCAGCTGAGGCTCCTGTTCCATATAGAACAGGACTTCAGTGCCATATGGTAAGAACATGCCAAAGCAAGCAAGTCAGTCTGTGTGCCTTAGGCTGCTGTTTCTGCCACTGAACCATCTGTGTCTCAGCTATTTGGTGTCAGCACGACTCACACAGCTAAAAGTTCAAGTCTCCTGCTTCTAGAAGAGCAATGGCCTGGGTTACAGAGTGGCATGGCACTGCACCCAACATCCACTGAGGACACCTGGAAGCAGAGGAGATTATCATGCACGGGCCACTCTGTAGCCTGATTCCAGCCTGTTCTGACCATCCCCTGATGACCAGGGGCCAGGCCACAGGCCAGTTCTGCACATAGCTGGGTTTCTTTTCATGGCAATCCCAGGAACATGGAGAGGTGTGGAATATGGTGCACCCCACACACCTCTGGGCTGGGTCATGCCTCCCCCACTGCCCAGGGACAAGCTGGAGGGTGCCCACCGAGGGCAGGGTGTGATGCAGAGCCCCCCAAGGGGACACCCAGCCCAGGGGGCACAGCAGGGAGGCCAAACTGCTGCAGGTAGTAAAGGAAGTTTTGCAGCAATGGGGCTGTTTCAGTGTGCACTGAGCCCCAAGCCAAAGCCAAGAGCTATTACTGAAAGCAGATGGCTTACAGGGGACCTTGAAATGGGATTCTGCCTGTGGCAGTTACAAAGTCACCCCACACAAAAGCACACAATAGGATGCTTCAAAGTCTTTAAATAAGAATTTAAACAGGAGTACATTAAAAACCAGTGCATGGTTTCCATATCACCACCAGACAGGCCAGTAGAGCCCCCCTCCCACAGACAACCATGGCTGCTTTCCCAGACAGCAGTTACACATGTGATGGATGTGGCCCCAGAATGGGCTCCAGTGTGGAAATGCTGCACAGGTCAACATCCAGTATATATATCTATATAAAAAAATGTTTAATTAACCTTATACTTAATTCTCTACTGGACTGTATCTTATTAAAAAAAAGTTCTTTATGGGATGAAAGATACGGGAGGGGAGGATCAGGTGGATAAATATATACATGGTTTGTAATATTAACTAATGAAATAAATACAACTAAATGCCAGGACAATGTATTCCCTAGTAAGGGGAAACAGGAGGCAATCCAGAAAGGGCTCTGACTTCCAGTCGTGTCTCTATTGGAAATGTCAGGACAGAGTGAACATCGATGCTGCAAGCAGGATGTGAGAACTCCTCAAAGAAGATTTTGCATTAACTATTTCTAGTAATGTCAGTTTGACACAGTTTCAGCAGAACATCCTCAGGAGACCATAAGCAAGGAAAGGCAGCTTGAGGGGGAATAAAAAACCAAAGGGATGGTAATTAGGGGACAAAACAGAAATGTAAATGAGGAAAACCTTGGAAAGAGACGGGAAGGAGATGACCCAGTCCCTTACAATACCCTGTACCTCACAAGCACAGGGGAGGAGGATGATCCTCAGGGACAGACACATGGAGGCAAAGGTTTC